AAATTGTATATGCACATGTCCATATATACAACGTTTACCTATAAAATGTTAAAACAGTTGGTGCATATGATATGTAAAATTTATTCAAAATATTCCTATATAGGTATAATGGTGACGTGCATATATAAGGTGTATATATACATGTGTGTGTGTGGCAGGTACAGTAAAAAAAATCAACAAGTTCAACAAAAAATCTCTCCTGATTGACATTGTCCCCTGAAGCTTGGATCTCAGACGATTCCTCTGCAGTGGAAGATCTTTTCTTGCTGGAGGATGACTTTGCCTTTGCCTTTGGTTTTGACTTTGCCTTGGGCTGTCGACGAGGCTTCTTCCCCACATCCTCATCCACAGTTGGAACTGCAGCTGCTGCAGCCTTGCTTTCCACATCTCCTTCATCAGCTTCATCAGCGCTAGACTCCACCATGATTTCACCAGTGCAAGCCTTACCACGGCCACGGCGGCCACCACGTCCTTTTCCCCGCCCTCGACCTCTCCCTGCAGGCTTCAGTTTCCACTGTTCAGTTCTGAGAACCACTGGAGGCTCATCATCAATCTCCATTTTCTCAACGGTGCCATTTTGATGTGGGCCTTCAGGTCGTGGTCCTTCAGGTTCAGGTGGGCAATCAGGTCGTGGGCCTTCAGGTTGTGGTCCTTCAGGTTCTCGGCCTTCAGGATCAGGTGGGCAATCAGGTCGTGGGCCTTCAGGTCGTTGACCTTCAGGATCAGATCGCGGGGGCTCAGGAGCACCTGTCTTGGCCATTGTGAAAATGTCAACCATGCGCTGCTGGATTGGGACATCCCAGTTCTTGGGCACAATGAGCATCGGTGATCTCTTCTGGGATGTTGTGCTGGGTGGGTCATCCTGCTGATTGCCTGGGTCAGCCACAAGAGGTTTTTGTAAAGGATCAGGCGTAGCAAGTTCCACAGCTTCACCTTCAACAGCTCCAGCAGCTGTCTTTGACGGAGTTTCACCTGTAGGGGTGATGTATATATATATATATATATGTAAAAACATCCATATAGATAAATTTCTTGTATAGATAGATTTAGATCTAGGTATGCAGATACAGATATATTTCGATGAATGATTGAGGATCTTTCTATAGATCTATACAACAGATAAGTACATCTGATATAAACATTAAAAACAAAACATATATCAATATAGGGATAGACTGAAATGTATGGAGATTATATAAATTAAGATATATAAATTATAGATTTAGAGGTATCAAAATTATATATAATATATGATGAATGGCATCAAGATATATAGATCGATGGAAAGATAAATAACTTATCCACCTTTCTTGGCCAACCATAGATGCTATCAGAAACAGAAATTGAGCATATCAGTATTCAAACAAAATCAAACAAAGTATGCAAAACATGTTCATGTGAATTCACAAAACAACATTTTTTGTTAAGGTCATCCCCGGCCTCGCTTTGCATTGGAAAAGTCTCCAGCAAGACAGCGACAAATCCCACTGGGCGTACCGATCGAATCCTGAGAGTCACTGCTTGAGACAGCATCCGGTGAACTTCCTGTCATCAAGGCTGCTGCCACTGGAACTGGATCAAATGGAAGAGTGTCCGCAACATCTGAAGCAGGCTGCTGCTCCATCTGTTTCTTCTGGGCAAGGAGTTGCCTCAAACAAACGGGAGTTGGGAAAACTACCTAGTAAACAGGACAAAGAAACCTTTCCCCTACCAAACCCAGCAACCAAGCTTTTGAATTCCAAAACGAAAACTAACACAAAACCATTTGAAGTTTAACCCATTTAAAGCCCAGGCACTTGAGGTACAAGATCTTTTGCTCCACATCCTTTATGGTCATGACACCCTGCGTGTCCGTGAAGGTCTTGTTCTCCCGTGTAGGTGCCGCAGGTGGTGGTACTCCAGGTTGATCAGCAGGGGTTGCCATAGAACTTGAAGCAGTCACAGGTCCACCCATGTCAGGATCAGGAACAGGTTCTTTGGGATTCACAGTCACAGGCTCCTCCACCGCGGGGTAGGGATCTTCACCAGGGTACTCAGGACTGAGGCGAATCTCATCAGCAGCTTCTTCATCCATGGCATCACTGATGGCATCATTCAGGATAGCCATAGTGGATGTTGCATAGTCCCTGATCTCATCAGAGAGAGCAGCCGCCTCTGCGCAGTCCTGATCAGAGTCCTCGAAGATGGTGGTATAAGGGTCACTTTTGTCCCTGACCTCCATGATGACACTCAAATCACCAGACTCATCCCCTGAATCAGCCAAGTCCACCACTTCAACACCAGACGTAGAGGACGCAGACGACGTAGACGTAGCAGCAGGTGTGGTTGAAAGCGCCTTGCGAGGCTTCTTCAGGGTCCAGTACTTGAAGATCTCCACATAGAAGTCATTGACGCCAATCTCCTGCCCACGGGGCAGCAAAGCATTTTGATTTGGGAACAGTAAGGAGCTTCCATGAAAATTGAAAATAAACAGCTTGTATATCCACGAGGATGGGATTAGTCTTAGACAGGACAAACTGACAACTACTTGGAACACTCTCTTGAGTTGAGATTCTCTCCGCTTGGGGCTCTTGGACAGAGATTTGTCAAATCCAGCTCGGCGGCATCCATAAGCAAACAACTTCTTCACACCCCACGCATCACATTGAAGCTGAGAAAGGTCTTGGGGAATTGCACATAAGCGACGCAATGCTGCAACCTGGATGGGGCAGTGGGTTAATCATACAATTCCTTAATTTGTATTGTATTTTGTTTTTTGATTTTGTTTCTAGTGTGGTGTGCGTTGAATATATGCAATATAGAATGTGTATATATGTGCAGTACCATGTGCAAAATATGTGTTACTACTTTAAAAGTTACTGCATTGATCTTCCTCCAGGTTCCTTTTTGTGACCTCTTTGACAGAAATAACCTTTGTAAATTTAGATGCTATTCTTCACATATGTTCAATATAAGCGGCATGTCATGCAAATGATTCAAAACCATTGTTAAAAGTTTTGTTCGGCTATTGGGCTTTCAATGGGTAACCTTTTTCTCAACCCCACCTGTGCTTTCACAACTGTGATCGATGGAGTCTTAGGGGTGGTCTGCGTTGGACACCACCAAGCTGCCATGATCGTCAGGACATTGCAATTCATGGACAACGCCTGCATCGATGTTTGGCCAATGAGCTCAGCATTAGCTTTGCCTTTTGGCCAGACCAGCAGCTTGCCAGCACCGAAGCGCATACGTTCCCTCACATTGAAATCCCCTTCCCAAGCTCTAGCTAAGCCATCATCATGAGCATGGGTTTTGGAATCACTGGGAGGAGGCGACGACATTGCAGCAGCAACTAGATTCAATTCAGCACGGACTTGTTGCATGTATTTACATGCACTCATATACTAGTTTAATAGTTTATTCCCAAAATCACTTTGATTTTTTCCCTGGGCCAGTGTTCATTGACACAGTGATATTTCTGAATTGCCGGAATTTTCTCATGGAAGTCAGAAGCACTGAGAGACAGATCATCTGGAGCCAAATGGTGAACCCATCCAATCATGGTGATCAAACCTTTATTACGAGGTGACCTTGAGCAGCTGCATTGCTGAAACTTGCCAGGGGTACTAGCGCCAGGTGCTGAAAGTGGCACCAAGGGTCCTCAAGGGATGGAAGAACCCCCATGAAATTGTTTGATGCTTGAATACTTCGCCCCTAAAGCTAATTTTTTTTGCACCATTGCATATCCAACCAATATATGTATGAAGTATCATGAAGCTATATAGTTAAAACAGTTTTGTGTGCGGTGAAAACATTGAGAACCCTGTTGAACTTGAACAGTTTTTGCCCCAGCCTTGGAAGTGCCAAAGGGCCAACGAATGCAGAAGCAGTTGCGCCCCCAAAGGACAAAGAGAGCGCACACAGCCGCAGGTGGCCATGGATGGGGGAAGCACCAAACCCAACTTGGTCAACATCAGTGAGATGAACTCCCTTTTTCTGCATGAATGTCCAGCAAATGGGCATACCATGATCCAAATCTATTGAAAGGTTCAACTGAAATCTTTACTTGTGGGATCTTGTGGAAAAACTGCCCACATGTCAAGTGAGCCAGGGCACCTGTCAGCAGTGTTGTGATGGACCCCGGTTTGCTGGTCACACACATGCCAAATGCTTGAAAACCATGAAACGCCGCTAATATTCAACAGATGTGAAGAATAACCTCTAAATTTACAAAGGCAATTTCTGCCAAAGAGGTCCAAAAAAGGAACCTGGAGGAAGATCTAGGTATATATATATATATATCTATTATAGCCCCTCGCTCTAAGTGTTTTGCCATGCGTGATCATCATGATCAGCGTGCCCGTTCCTTATCTTCCTTTAATTACTCATCTCTCATGCTTTTCCCTGTCTCCACACTTTCAGACAATGTAGTGACCGTCAGAGGTTTGCAGATTTCCAACGCGCCAGACACTCAGGGGCCCGCGTCGGAGAGGAAACATTCGTTTTGCTTGCCTAGACTCTTTGTTAATGGGCAGTGCACGGTGGCGCCGGAATTCAGCAAAGCTTACCAGCTGGATATTGTTTGTTTGATGTTTTTTGTGTGCGCGTGTTTTGTAACTTTTTGATAATTACTTTTTGGAAAATCGACTCGAGCATTTGACTCAGTCACCTGTTTCGACCTCAGGCGTTGTGGATTTGAAAGACAAAACCACTGGAATTTGAGCTAGTGATGATAGCACGTGATTACTGTAGCTTTGTTGGATCAAGAATATCAATAGCTCTTACTTCCCCCCCTCACTTTGACTTTAGAAGCTAACCTTTCTCTCATGCACTGGTCTTGGCAGCAGAAAAAGTTCATCCCTGCCAATCCAGACAAAATCTCAGTGATGTTTGTTTAAACAGCAATTATTATCACTTTGTGTTTTCCATTATTTTCTGTTTTGCAGACCACTAGCCTATAGAACCTATAGTGCTTCCATGACTCTGTGACTGCCAATCCATGGAATTTCCAGCGTTGGAAGATGATCTCTTTATGGAGAGTCACGGGCGGAGGTGACAAAGGCCGGACCAGATGAAAGACAGTGACAGTATGTGACAGTTGTTCCACCCCTGCGGGCTTGGCTTTTCTAAAGATTAACGCGGTACAACAATGTATAACATGTATAACGCGGTCGTGCATTTTTTTTGCAGGGTGGAGTGGAGAGGGGGTTGTACAGAATGCCGTCCTTTTCCTTAACACTCGATGAGCGTGGAAAGCCATGTCAAACGTGACGGGACCATGGATGAAATATGATGAAATGGAGGTTTTGCTGAACAAATGCAACATGTTTCAGCAGCATTTGCCTGCATGCGCTCTCTCTCTCTCTCTAAACTTACAGTAGTACTATTACGGTGTGTACTGTTTATAAGTGCTAGTCTAAAGAATATGTTTCAGAAAAAACCTGGCTTTACTCAAGAGATTCAGAGATCCGTTTGCTGCTACTCTTTACAGTGATATGGGTATTAAACATATTGAAAGAATTTGAGAGAATGATGCCCCATGATGCCCCTTCAGGTGGCATCATTGCTCGTGAAGCTTGCGAGATTTCCTCCCTGCAATTTCCGGAGCGGCTACAGACCGAAGCTCTGGTGAAGGACCGGTGAAGGAGTTGAACTTGAGCCATTTTGAACGACACGGGCGGCCACTATGACACTATGAGCCATTTCATGTCATCAAATTTAAATATAGAGAGAGCACACATGATACTCGTACAAATGATAAGATAGTGGCTGGAAGTATGTACAATGTAGAATGTTGTAGAGGGCCAAAGACGACAACCCAACGCGATCTCAGAATGTTGATCGGTATTCAATAACGGTTCTGTTCAAGGCCTTGGAAACAAACCAGGAACATAAACGGTTGCAGTTGCCCATTGTCTTCCTTGCAGACTTAGAATGAATCATGTCCACTCTAGGAAGAGAGTCCGCCATGAGCAAATCACACTGACGGGCGGGATGCAAATAACGCTACACACGGTTTCAAAAAATACGCGCCCCGTGAGTGCAGGAAACAATAAATGCATATAAATGCAAGTTTTTGATTCAAACATTCGATATCAATTCGATATCATCTTCGATCAAATGAAAAACGATGAAAAACGATGGTCTGGGAGTGCTAGGTCTGCTAGGTTTGCTAGGTCTGCTAGGTCTGCTAGGTCTTAGATTGATAGGCCATGATAGGCCAGGTCCACAGGGCCAAAGTGCTGTTCGCAGGAGGTGCAACTTGTGGGTGAGCGGCTGAACTACGAGTTGCTGGAGGGCTCCGGGCCATACAGTGGAGACTTAGCACGGAATTCAGCGCAGTGTTGTCGAAAGAAGGCAGGTTGGCATCTGGGGAGAGGAGATATGAAGAGTGGGGGAGACAGCACATTCTGAATGAAGAGGTAACTTAATGACTTAATGACTTATGCTCACAGGTTTATACAGGTTTTGCATGTTTTGCAACTTTTGGCATGCTCAAATCTTGGTCGCAGGTGTTATGAACATTTCAAAATCTTGATGCCCAGGATGGGTCAGCACCAAGTTGAAGGACAAAGATCTCCTTGAAAAGGCGAGGTTGTTGAGATACGAGGATCCAACTGATCCAACATACTGAAGACATTTTTGTTGTGTTCGGTCCAGCTACGGCTCCTGGGCTTACAGTTGAGCCGTTCTGAAAACCTCCCTTTACAATTTTAGTAACGGCCTTGTCACAACGAGTTTGGCGTAAGCAAAACCCTCACTTGCTGCTTAAGGCCGCGTAAGGACTTCGCGTAAGGGCTTCCTCAATTTGCTCCACATAATGAAAAAGACCACGCGTGTAAGCATGGCGTAAGCTCTGGCGCACCCAAAATGATGCGACATAGCGAGTGACTGAAGGTTTTAGATGTTTTTAGAATGGCTCAATCAGTTGACTTCAGCTGAATATTCAATTGAGCCAAGGAGGTCATTGCTGGAACGCCACCTACACACATTGCACTGATATAGACAGAGTTCAGAAATTCAATCTAGCAGAGATTCCCTGGTGTCACGGTCACTGTTGCCCGAATGAAACGCATGAACCCAGCACTTGGATGCACTTGGGACCTACCAAATCTTACGAATAGTATTGGCATGAGGCATGTATTGGCATGTATTGGCAATGGGGGATGCTGGATTGAAACTTCCACTGGGCATATCTGGGCATCACCCAGCATCAGCTAAGTGAAGGTGGACCTTTTGAAGTTTTTCTCCCATCTTCCAGTGGCATCACCTTTGGCGGCTTCCCGGTGGCTGGCAAAGTATCAGCCTCGTAAGGACGTGAGGTGTCGGAACCTCGGCGAATGGCATAGCCGCATAGCCTATGGGCCTATGGGCCTATGGTTTGCCCATGGAATAGTGAGATAATTATAGATAATCACAGATGATACAATAAGTCTAAGTATAGTGAGTAGAGTAAGGATGATTAAGGACATTCCAAGCATTTCCAAGCCATGCTAAGGAAGTGCAACGGTTTTCAGCTACAACATTGCATGCACTGCAACTTTAGAAAAGAAACAGCGATCACATTATGTTTTTCATGGGCCACATGGTTTTAAACTGTTTTAAATGGTTTATGATATGCAACAACGTGCTATCACAAATTCAGCTCATTGTGCTGTTCTGTACGCTTGTGGTCAGGGACTTGACAGACCGGATCTATTTACAGACTTTATAGTATTTGAATGTATTTGATATATTCGATTGACCCTAGATCCTTTAGACTTTAGAGGGTTCTAGAATTGAAGAGCATGGAATGGTGTTGTGCAGTTCAATGATGGACTCGCTATGCGGCACACGATAGCTCTGATGGTGATTCAGATGATCTTCAATTGGGCGTTTGTTGCAAACGAGGCTGGTGTGCTTTTTTGGTGCAGGAATGGATGCAACTGGATTTCTCACTTGGCGACTCGGAACTGAGAAATGGAACCTGCAGACTTGAAATCGAAACTAAGTGCAGGCAAAGCGTGACGGCTTTTGATCTTCTTTTGGACGAAAGGTTCGGTTCAAACAAAGTTTTGGATGCATTGCAGGGCAGCATGTGACAGTGTTAGACCCCCAATGGTAATTCGACCAGAGGTAAAGGCTGGCGCGGTACTGAATTCAACCATGGAAAGTACAGAAACATTGCTAATTGCTAAGTTTCGGCACCAAACAGATCCAAACGGAGAGGAATCAAATTTGTTTGATGTTTGTCCTCTTCCCTTGGCCCAGGAATGACTATATGAATGAAAGGTTTCCCTTCATTGATCTCGTCTTGCTCATGCTGCCTGGCCATGGCATCAATCGCAACGTTGCCTTGGAGAGTGATGCCAAGGCACAGTGACTGCAATGTTTCCTGTACCCAAATGCAGCCAGCACAAGTCTTTGCATCAAACCAAGCCTACGCTTTTGGGTTGCCCACCTTCGGCAACTTCATCCCGTTGCAGGCTTTGGCTAGCCTGACTGTGGTGGAGCTTCTGTCCCTTTCATCACCGTGGCCATTGACAGCGATTTTTGGCTTTTCAGCTGGTGCCACCGCAGGTGGCATGGTGCGCATGGGGCGCATGGGCACTGTTGCAACATAATGTTGGATTTGCCAAGCAGGTTTCACTCCTTTTTCAGAGATCCATGAGACAGGAAATTTGTGTCTTTGTATCTGCAGCCGTTTGTAGGACTGGTTGTTGCTGGTATTTGCAATGTTTTCAACCTGTCCATTTCTTCAACCATAATATTATGCCTCAGTTTCAATTTGGATTTTCCATAGTTCAATAAAATGTTTCGTGAAGAGACATTTATTCACCAGGTTTGGCGGAAAAGATGTTGCTGCATTTGAAAACAAGAACGCATGTTTTAATATGTTTTAATGTTGTTCTGTTTTTCAGTGCGGCATGAAGTTCAATGTTCTCGTTTCATGTTTTCAGAACAGAGTTCATGTCTTAATGTTGCCCAACATGTTGCAACCAGGGCGCATTTGCAAACTTGACCTGAAGCTGCTTTCAAATCTTTCAAGCTTCAAGCCTCGAAACAGCGTTGACTTTTTCTCCCGCTACACCCATACTGCAGGTTTCTTATGGTTTTGTTTTTAGATAGATGTTTTGATACCGTTTTCTCCCGTTTGCATATTTCGGCATTTCCAACCGTCTAATCATGTTTTAACATGTTTTAAGATTTTATCCTCAAAGTAGATCGATTGGGCGCCTCAAACGGCTTCAATCATCCAACCCCACATCCCAATCCAGTTGCAGGCTTGGCTTGTGCTGCTGAGCTCGAGCGCCGACACTTGACGCCTTTGCGGCTCTACTGCGCGGGCCGTGCTGGACCTGGCATTCGGTTTCGGCCTCCAAAACATGAGGTGTGACATGGAGTCTTTGCATACATTGCATACATATCATACATTGCCTAGATCTTTCCTACAGGTCTTCAATGCTATTGATGCTACGTGTGGAAAGTTTGTGCTCGTGTTTTTGGATGTTTGCTTTGTGCCGGACTTGCTTGGTGACAAGCAGGAGATATGGGCATACAGTCCCATTGAATGGGCGCGGTGGTTTGCCAAGAATTTCGCAACTCCCAAGGACATTGAACGGACTGAGTCTTGACATGGCACAACACAATGTGCCGCACTTCGCTGGCTTTTTTTTTCTCCTAAATCCATTGTTTTCCAAGGCTCATAGAACATAACAGAACGCAGCAGGATTTCACGGTGTTCCATGCAGGGTGCGCTGCAACATCCTGTGCCACTTCAAACACGTTTGCATGGCGAATCCGGACTTCTTGGTTTCTTATGTTTCTTGATCGCTCAGATTCGCTCAGGAAAAATTGATCAAGTTGTCGGATGGTGGTGATGACGGCCTTCTGAAGTCCATTGCTAAGACTCAACGAGCCGACATGCTCATGGGAGACAGCCTGGCAGGTTCTGCAGTTCAACCAGTGGAGTGCGATCTCTATGTGATGGGCTCTTTGCAAGATGAGATTTGGCCAGCAGAAAGCAGCATGAAGTGCGCCCTAAAATTGGTTGAGCTGCATCGAGTTTTGATGGTTTGTTATTGATCATGAGTTCTTGCAAGCACTCTTGCATATCGATCATTTGAATGTACTTGAGAAGTTTTGAAGCAACGTGTGGCAGCCCATGCGTGTCTGTTTGTATGCTTGGATGTTGATGCAATGACGAGGACATGACATCCATGCATGACTCCTGTTTGTAGTATGATAGGTACGGCGATCATTGTCAGCCACCGTATGATGACATGCTTGAGACCTGGAAGGGCTACAGCAAAGGTGTGGTGAAGTCAAAGTACTTCGAAGGACGGGAACTTGTTTTAAGATGTTTTAAGAGCAAGATGCAAACAATATGTTGAAAGCAAACACTCACGCAAGCCGCAAGCCGCTGCAAGCCTGTTGAATAAATTGAATTCACTCCTTGATGCTGTCGGACCGTGTTTGTGTTCGTACCGTAGGTGCCAAGTCCAGGTCCGGTGTCACTCCTCCCACCAGGAGTTAAGCACCATGAGCTGTGCGCTGAGCCGCTGCTGGAGGAAGTCTGCACGGACCTGACAAAGGTCCTCCTAGAAATGGCGAGCGACACCTCAGTGAAAAAACAACAAGGCTCATGGATACTCATGGATCCAGATTTGTTGCTCATGGACCCAGCCCAGTTTCTCACAGACAGCAGTTACTGGGGTAATGAACAAGCCAGGCTGCTACCTGAAAGAAAGTTCGACCCATTTTTCACGGGATGCTGTTGGATTGGCGTTGCCCCAGGCTTTGGGCGACACACCAGGCCAGGAACCAAGCTTGACAAAACTGACACAAGACAGGTAATTTGATGCTAGTTTGATGCTAGTTTGTCTATGTTTGTCAAAGGCTGGCTAAGACATGCTAAGACTTTAAGATTTCAATTCCCAGCTGTTTGGCCTGCACGCCAAATGTTTTGACATTTGGCATGTGTTGACGTTACAGTATCACGCCGGTCCTGCCATGACAGAAAAAGACATGAAAAGACAAGGCCAAGAGACGGTCGAGACTGCACTTCCCGCTTTTGATGATGGGGATCCAGAGGCGAGCTGATCCTACCGGTGGTTTGTATTTCTTTGCAGATTTTGCAGGTGTTGCAAAAGCTAAGCAGCTAAGATGAAATTGCAACATATTGCAACTCTGCTGATTTCAAATCAGAGGGCAAGATTATTTCCCATGTGCAGCGGAAGGTGCAACGTATGTAATTATTGTGTATAGATGATATAGAATGGGCATGAATCGAAGAAGGTTTGCCTGCACATCTTCAGGACGCAAATCTCCATGGTCATAGAGTCATATCATGTCATATCTATGTGCATGCGATCATGCAACACTGTCCACTGGCTTGGCATTGTTTGAATATCCCAGTGCGGGTGTGCAGGCCTTTGTCCAGCGCATCAAGCGAGAACTAGGCTCCTGGATGCTCCTGGAACCTTTTTTTTTGCTGCTAGCAATATTTGTGGATTTGGAACTATTGCTTACTGTGTATTGAGGGGCATAGAATTTACGGCAGATGTAGGACTTGGAACGAGCGCTTCCGAATAATGCCGTGGGAAATTTGCGGAGGCATTGATGCTGGACCCCTAGCTTTCGAGCCAGAGCGCGGGTGCCTAGAAAGCGGACCCAACGAACCTTTCCAAAACGAGCCCCCGGAATACACCCAGTGGCTAGAGTCTGCGGCTAGAGTCAAGTGAGATCATGTTGACAAAAATATGTTGTTCTGAATGCCGGCATTGCAAAATCTCCTCAAAATCTAAGACAAGTTGCAAGAAGGCCATGTTGGCTGCTTTACAAATAAATCAGGAAAGTGGGAAGCCGGACATGGTTGAGTCCTGTTTCGGTTCCTATGCTGCGCATGTATTGAAACTGGCCAACCTTTGAAGATTTGAAGGTCCAAGCCTGCAATGCATCCGGCAGAGGCAAGGCCCGCTGTGCTGAGGACCGCATGACAGCGTTTCTAGATAATAGATGACAATAGATGAAAATAAAATATATAGATACAGACTGAGACTAGATAGATAGATAGATAGATAGATAGATAGATAGATAGATAGATAGATAGATAAGATACACACATACATAGATACATACATACATAGATACATACATACATAGATAGATAGATACATACATACATACATAGGTACATAGATACATAGATACATAGATACATAGATAGATAGATCTACATAGATCTACATAGATCTACATAGATCTACATAGATCTACATAGATCTACATAGATCTACATAGATCTACATAGATCTAGATAGATAGATAGATAGATACATAGATCTACATAGATCTACATAGATCTACATAGATCTACATAGATCTACATAGATCTACATAGATCTGCATAGATCTACATAGATCTACATAGATCTACATAGATCTACATAGATAGATAGATAGATAGATAGATAGATAGACAGACAGACAGATAGATAGATAGATAGACAGACAGACAGATAGATAGATAGATAGACACATGCAGTTGTTATAGGGATCTATCTAAATTAGCTACAGTAATATTCATGCAGGATCTTCGGGACTCTTGATGGATTTGATGGGGATTTGAGGATTGCCATGTGACAGAACCAAGGGGGCTCGCCAAGAGTCAATTGAACGAGTTCACAGTGCGACAATATATGATGATATATGTGATGATATATGTGTATATAGCATATATTCCGTATGTGTATATAGCATATAATATGCATATATGCTATTCCGATCGATCTTTGTGGTGTGCTGAGCCGTTCGCTAGCCCTGCTTCAGGTGGAAGCTCCCTTTAGTCCATCAAAGGCAAGGGATCTCAGAACACCAGTTTACTATGCCGCGGCTGTCCCAACAAACCAATTGCAGTTTTGAGGAACGGGTGTTTTTCAACTAGAATGGTCTTATGAGAAATGGTATTTATACATATAGTTATATAATGTTATATAGATAGCTCTCGATTTTTTAAATCTATTATGTTGATTTGCAATTTGTATGCCAGTGTCTGGACAAGTCCGGACAAAACAATATCCTAGATTGTAGGGGTATCTAATCACCGCAGAGTCATCAGTACAACCGTAGTACAACCCATGCTCAGTCTGCAGCTTTGAATTTTATTCATTCCAACGTTTGGGCCAGGGCTTGAACCAGTTTTGTTTGGCTTCGACTTCGCGCAGCTCGCAAGGTCTTGCGGGAAATTGAGGAGATGAACGCATCGTTTCAGATCTTTCAGGCAGCCGAGGCATGTGAAGTACAGGGCCTGGATGGAAATTGTGGACTATCTGTGGATGGGCATGGACGGGCCAGCTTGGTGCTACAGTGTAAAAACAGGTAATTAATAATTGCTGATTACTGTAAACAGGGTGAGATGCCCCAGCAAAGCAGCCAAATTGTTCGCCATAGATGGCACCATCAGCCGTGATTCGACATTTGCACCATGGCATTACATGGCTATACAGGCTATGCATAACCGGTGTGAGCAATGCCATGTCATGCCGTGGTCTCTGCATCACTCTGCACCAGGTGCCATTGGACTCATTGGACCCCAGCGCACCAGAAGCACCAGAAGCACCAGAAGCTCAGGCAGATCATGGCCGATCTGGCAAAGATTTTTGCATCTTGTTGCTGCGTTCAGTAGGGCTGCGTGACATTTGTGACATTTACGCAACTAATTTGATACAAATCTGATATAGGGAATCAGTTGAGACATATTGAGACATGCTCAGGTATTCTTCCCAAAGTACTCGTATCACGCAAGCCTTACTGTATATTTTGAAGAATTTGAGTTCCACTATGCTCGGGCAGTTTTTGTTTGTTCCATGTTACGTCTATCAGCATGTTCAGCCGGATTAATTCCTGACCATTTTGCTGACATTCGGCCCAGGTGCCACAATGTTGGATATGTCAATATTTCTATTATTCACCCACACAGGTGCATATCATCTAGATATTATAGCCATATGTAGCCTGTGATGTGCCTTCAGCCAAACACTTTTCTCCCAACTGAGTGGTCCGTCAGATGCACGTTGGGAAGAATCATGAAGAATCTGATCCACAAGTGTCACCGAAAGAGGCCCAAACATGCCTACACTATCCTGCACTAATCTTACACTCATACTTCTTACTTCAAAACCTCTAACTGTTTTAACTAATTACAACATTTTAGAGCATTTGACGTCGCTTCGCATCGTGCCCGGTCTTTGCCATGGGTAACACGACGATTTCCACTTGTCACAACCAATGCGAAAGTGTCGCTGTGGAGTATGCCGGAGTGCCCCCCTCAGAGCTGGAAAGACTGATGATGTGAGGCAACGACAAGATGGAGATCTGTTCGATGCTGTTGACTTTGAAGGCAACATGGATAAGACGTGATAAGACTGGAAACGTGTTCAACCCGCATGTATAAAGCTAAGCACGAGCGAACAGGACGTTGAACATTAAAGTGAAAAAGATACATGGATAGAGGAGATCCTAGTAGCGCAAAGGCTTGCATTTAGTGACAATATGTGACAATCATCACCTCCTGCACCTCGAAAGCCAAGGCAGGCTTCTATCAGTTGAGCAGCAAAGGCTCCGCACCCATCCGCACCCGAAGTTTGCCCAACTGAGCCTCAAACCACGGTCAAATCCAGTCCGTGATTTGAACCTTGTCAGATCTTTCAAGGTATGCAGTTGAGAGATGTTGAGAGAGTAAGTTCGTGTGTGGATGGTTTCGAGCGTACTCCAGCCTAATATCTCCAAACTCTCAAAAAGGATCACGCCAAATTGGAAAATGCATGAGAGTGAAATTGCGAAGCAGTTCATAGTCACAGCAGTTCCCTTTGCAGCTTTTCATTTTACAGCCGGAATTCGAAGGCTCTCATCCTGATGGTGATCTTCATGGCAGCGAGGCTGTGCTGCCAAACCATGCCAAACCAACATATCAAAAACGTATTATGTGATGATTATGTGAATGTTTTTTTTACATAATTTGGTCGTTTTGATTTTGGCAGTTTTCAGGAAATGCAATCAACATAATTAGAAAGTAATTAGATGATATTAGATGATTGAAATTGATAGATTATTGCAAACATTTGGGCAATGTTAGGACCGTTAGGACCGTTAGGAGTCAGTCTAATCTTGGCACAAAAGCCTGGATCAGAGTCCACCATCTACCGGAGAATCGCTGATGTAGAGGCGATGCTTTGCCACAAGATGCTTGTGGCTGCAAGAGATGGAAAAGAGGACACTGAAACAGTGCAATGCGGCCCATTGAAACAGTGCTTTGCAATGCCATAGTTATCCAAAGTTCATAGATGTTCATAGGATCTTACAAGGTTTCATCTGATTTGAAATGGGTTCATGCGATTTCACGAGGTTTCATGTGATTCCATGTGCCCTTCCAACCAATCTCTTCGAAGACTTTCGAAGATCCTGTGTTGCCTTTGGTTATCTTTGGATTTGGGAGCTGACAATTAGTGTTATATTGCAAAAACCTAAAGATCCAAAAGCATCCAAAATCTTATTTTTTTAAATAGTTTTATTGCGAGAAGTACTTCGCCCAATCTTTGCCTTACCAGCAGGACGACCTGAAAGAGCTTCTGAACTTGGGCGTGCCAGTGGATCGAAGGTCGCGCGGCATTGCCAGGATTTGGCGAAGTTGTCTGCATAGTTTTTGCATCGTTTGGCATAATTTTTATGTTTATATTTTATCATATGATTTAATTGTTCATACATGTTTTCATGTTTTTGTTTTTGCCCTAAGAGGAGATGAGAACTGGTGGAAAACACTGAAGCATACTGAAGCTCTTTTTGGAGCGAGGTGAGCAAGAATTCCACCAATGTGAGTGCAAGACTACAAACAATTGTGATATAACTGTTATATATGGTACTGTATGTGGGCTGTATATCACATATACACAATTATATACACATTAAATATATTTAAATGTATAATATTAAATTACAATATCTCTAATACACTCCCGTCACCCGGACTGATTCATGTATACTCTGGGGATCACAAGATGCGCCAGATGCAATGGCTCCGTTTGCAGGCGGCCCTTCTTTATGAAGCGAGAGCAGGAAGATGTTTCGGTTATTGCTCCGGCCAACGCTCGTCGAGTTCATGGAATGTCAGCTCTGATGTGCCTGGATTTTAGTTTGCTTGTCCTCCCGACGTGCACGTACATATAGAATTATCATATATTCATGCATCCTGCATACTGATATAGACAAACGATACATAGAAGTTGGTGCATGTTGATGCAGAAAACTAGCGGTATATGCCTAGGAGTGCCTTGCCATGCCTTGCCAGCATTCTGGGGGCATTCGAGGGTGAATTCATATCAGCATTGACAGTCCAAGATTGGTCAAACAGAGCCAGTGCAGTGCAGATCCACCAAGGTATGCTGCTCAAGGTGGTTACTTCAAATGTTGCATGCATTTGCTGATGGCAAGGGCAGATGCTAACTGCGAAGATGAGGACACTAGACCGTCCAGACCATTGCGGGCCGCGATGGGTAAAGCAGTTCCAGGATGGATTTTTTGATACAACCTAATGTGGAAGCTTATCCAAGGTGAGTCAACAGTGCACCCTGACATAATCTGACATGCAACCACATGGAAAAGATCACATGGGCAATGACCAAGAGACTCTTTGATGAAAGCATGCCTTTGCGAGTGTGTCGCAGATGAGCCATCAGTAGAGCAGCAGTTGCCAGAAGATGATAGAAGATGCCTTGGAACCCACTCTTTGTGGGTTTGCACTGAGAGAGGACGGAATGCGGCCTCTTCACTTTGCTGCTTCCAGCGGAAATTTGTCGGTTTGCGAGCTGCTGATCCAGTCACTAAGTGTGCAAATAAGCACTCAGAATTCATAACAACTGATAATCTTCTGGTATTTGATGACGATTTCTTCAGAAGGTGACACCGAATCAAATTGTAAGGTGCAATATGGTGCAATTTAATTTGTTATGATTAATTTGTTTAGTAACTAAGAAGGCTGAGAATTTGTAGGAACGTAAGCATCAAAGGTTCAAGCCCAGGTAGCTCAAAGGGCATCCCCGTGCTCCCCGTTTTGTCTATCAATGACTACATACATTTGCTCCGGGAATGGTTGGGCGTTTGGTGGCGTTTGCACGCTGTTTGCTCGCTCCGCTGCTCCGCTGCTCAGGCATCGTGCAGACGTTTCGGCCACTCGGTGTATGCAAAGAACACCACCAGAAAGGATCAGTAGTTGCAGTATGTTGCAGTGGGGACAGGGCGTTTCTTTCAGTGTCAAGTTGAAGATGCCAGTAAGCATTGAGTTGGACCAGTTTGCTCATGTTTGTCCAATTGCGATCTCCTCGTTTCTTCTTTCAGATTCGGTCCGGATTGGGAAGAATGTCTGCAGGCTGTCTCAGATGAGGGTCAGACTGCTCGTGACATGGTTGCGCCGGCAAAGATTGTATCGAATGCGGATCATTGTGGCCTTGATTATATTGTCATACACATGATATGTTTATATATTTTTATTGGAAGGCTTTGTCCAAATTCAGTGCGCATAGCCCAGGGGACTCCCAAGCAATTGGATCCTGGGATACCGAGATGCAACGGAGAGTTGCCAGCTGCCAGCTGCCAGGTGCCAGATGATGCCATCCCCTCGGCGAAACACCACTACCGCTGGACAGAGCTGCTGCAGGTGACTTCGCCTGACATCGCCTGACGGCCAGCATCTGGCATGGATTGTTGGTAGGTTGTTTGATGTTTGTTTGATGTTTGGTATGTCATCGCGCGCCACTAAGTCTCACAGTGACTAGAATGATGCCACCTACTTTGCAGAATAGTAGCATGCCATAGCATGCCGGTCAGGTTAAGTAGGAGTTGGATTCCTGTTTGGCATAGTTTTGTTTTGCAGGCAGCTTCAGCGGCACCAGACATGGATGCTGAAGACGCTTGAAAGGCATTTGCGCAAAGCACGTTTTTCACCGTCCTTCAGATTATGTGTCCCTTTATGTTTCTTCACTGATACCGTTTCCTGGCATTCGACCATACCACAATCATCCACAATGGATTCATATCATTTCGGATTTTAATCCGGGAAAAGCAGAGCCTGAGGTTCACACGTGAGAAAAACATGGGAAAACAATCTATGTTTTTTGCCTTACAGGCGATGACTTTTTCGGCACATGCGGCTTTGCTGCAATGAGCACGTATCACTGCTCTCTTCAAAACTTCCGGTCCGTCATGCAGCTCTTCAAGAGTTTGATGGTGATAATGAATCAAATGGTTTCAATAAAAACATGAAAGGTCATGAACATATATGCATCATGAATCATTATTCTCATCATTGTGAGATGTTGTAGCATATGAAGCATTTTTGTTGTGTTTCCCATGAAGGACCTGAAAGCAAGAAACAATATACTACTGATGCGGTTGGAGGATGTTGGAGGAATCCAGCCGTTCCAGCGGTTGCGCTCCCCATGCTAGTTTGAAGATGTTTGAAGTGCAAATGCCAGCCATATTTGATATTATTTGATATTATTTGGTCATCCAAAGAGAACAATACACAGAGGCTGTGGGGTGCGCAGACGCCAAAGCATCAAGCTGTTAGCTTAGGGACATTTGCAGCAGGATCTGCCTTTTCCCAAAGGCTCAAGCAATGCCTGTTGCATCCCAGTGCATCCCGGTGCATCCCGGGGATTGGGCACTGGACCTCGGCCGCCATTTTCATCCATTTTCTACATGCATGAAGTCGATGTATACGTACCACCAATACTTACGCTCACGGTATTGTGTATATATTACAGTAACTGTATATTGATCATTTTATCATGATATCCGTGTGTGCGTGTGGTTTTTGTTCTTGTCTTCCTTTGGACCGAGGTCCAAACCCTTCCGAATTCGAGGAACCTTAGCCATCCTCAGCTTCAGAATGCTGAAGTTTTGGTGCGTAGAATGATCACTTTTTTTTTTGTTGGTAAACCTTGGGTCATATCCGCTATGATTGAACTACTGATATGTGATGATCGCATATCATCATGCCATGAGGACTATTCTATAATACAATCATGTTGTGTTTCCCTCCAAACTGAACACATGCAGCGAAAGGGCATTACAATTGTTGCCTGGGTTGGTTGAAAATTTGTATTCAGTGTACCAAAGATGCCAGGTGGTGCTGCTGCAACAAAAAGATGGTTTGCAGTGTGATTGGCACAAAAGCCCAAATGAAAAGATGGCGATGCAAACAACCATGGAGCCAAAATGGAAGGACCCACGCCCCATGAGTCTATCTTTCTCTCCCCGCATGGCAAGGCTTCCTCCTGATTGGTCAGTGTAGTGAGAAGGGGAAGGGGTTTGTAGATCATTGATTAGGCTGTCCAACATAATTATTTAATCTCAAGAAAATCCAGAACTGAGCACGGTGAACACAGCAACAAAGCGTAATCCTGGAGGTGCCAGAAAAGCCAATCAAAGCTCAAAAGGCCGGACTGGCCGGACATTCTATTGAAATACTTCAACTGCAGTTGTCCCTCTGGAATTTTGACTACTGGCAAGAGTAGATTTTGGTTTAGAGATTATAGCCTATAGAATTTTATAGCTTGACTCCATGGATATCATGCGACCTCATCCATGACATTCCATGACACAGCTTCCGACCGTCCTGGGGCGTTATTGTAGAACAGTCTCTGCTTGTGACTATGCTCCAGGATGCTCCAGGGTCATAGTTTCGTCAAGTTGCACCAACTGCTTATTCTCTGCAGGTGGAAGCCCAGACTGCAGATGTGGCCACAGGTTGAGCATCGGTGTCGTCGGTGTTGCAGCATTGCACGTGCAGCAGTTAGCAGTTTCAGATGGCGATGAGCGGTCATTTCAGTATGTTCAGATATGTTCAGTGGTGTGAGAAGATTGAGAAGTTCCTCCACCAGCTGCGCCCAGAAGTCCGAAATGTTTCTCAATGTTTCCTCCGCATTCCAGGATCGCCCAAACCCTCAGCAGAGGAGGCCTGATGGAACTGCAACATGAACTGCAAGATGCTGCAAGTATTTCGCCAAGTAGTCACTTTGCCAAAGTCTTGCCATGTCTTTCCATGTTTTTTCCATTGCCATTTCTTTGAGGCGCTTCTCTCACGATTGGTGGCGCTGGAGGCAGAAGTGCTGAAGCTAAGTGGCTGGACAGCAAATATGGTGCAGCAGCAGTTACCAAACGCTTTCTTCATCTAAGCCGACCTAAGTTGACAATTTACCATGAACAAAATGGACACGCAATAAATAAAAGCTTTCAGATTAGTACTTTCGAGATCCTTTGCTTCCCCTGGGTCGATGCTTTTGCCAGGAGAACCTGCGACATCCAGGCATGATGGGAGCCTTTCAAATCACTGGCTCTCATTGGAAGCAACCTGAAACTTATGATCAGCTAGTGGCAAGCAGCTGTCAGTGGCAGGTAGCCAAACATACAACCATCATACAACCATCATACAACCATCATACAACCATCATACAACCATCATACAACCATCATACAACCATTCTCCCAAAATCCTCCCCATACTCCAAGCTGACCATATTCCAGACGTTTCCAGACCACAATTGCTGAAAAACATTGACAAATTGTAATTATAGGTGGCATTGTATTTGCATATTTCTTTGGTATGCCATGTAAATGCTAACACGTTATATCCGAGCACTCCTGTGAGTACGCGTTCTCCCAGGGTAGTCTTAGACCCCAGCCCGATGAATGATTCTGGTCTACAAAAAAAGCTGTAGTATGCGCAAATCTTGTGGGGAGCATTGACCCACAGGTATGTTATATGTGGTATGTGGAGTACGATGTTGGAATGGTATACAGTATACGTTAATGTTGTGAACTTGGGCGGCGAGCGGCTAGAACCATGCCTGAGACCAGTCGACCGGACACATTCCAGGCCAAGTCCAGAGTTGAGCGAAAGCCCACGACGTGATGACCTTGGATTCTCTCAGGATGCAGGATGGTGAGCGGAGTGAGCGGTCCTGTTTTGCCATTCAGCTTCCTAAAGCCACTCTAGGGCTGCTCCGGTCCCGCAACGTGCTGCAGCTTCAGAATGGACTAAGTTGGATTGTTCAAGATGCGATTCTAGGCCCTGCTGAGAACGCAGAGAAATCAGAGATGGAGGCGCATCGCGGTACCCGTACTGGCTTCCCGCCTGTCCTGACGAGAGCTAGGGGATGCGTCCAGCTTGCGTAAACTGACCTGTGCGTTGCTACCACCTCTTTCCAAGACCGCGTAGGCACACCAGGCCATGAGTTCTTTGGGTATGAGTTTGCTCTCATCCAGCTCCTTGTCGCGGCCTCAAACTTGGAGCAAAAGAGGAGGAGAGGACACTGTATGAACGTCACCAATCTGTACAAATCAGATCAAAACCAGTATGATGCATCAAGATACATCACAGAAGGCCGAAGAGCACTTTTTAAACATATTTAATTGTTTTGAAAACATTTAACTAGTAATTAAGTACGTGTTAAATTGATATATTTGATATGTGTTGATTGATGACATGATTGACATACATGTCGTGTTTTCCCATGATTTGGCGGTGATTCTGCAGATCCTGGGGTAGCTATGTCTGGGAAGTCATGGTAAGTCCAGGTCAAGCCCCACTCGCCATAATTCGCAGTGTCGCTGGTGAGGTTTGCTTCGGTCTCTGATCGACAGGAAGCATCTCCTGAACATCGTGGGCAGCTAAGAAACATTAAGAAACTCAAGTCCTTTCACGCTGCACCTGGCAAGCTTTGCGCGGACTTTGTGCTGCTGACCTGCCAAACATCCCAGCCGTCTCAAACACCCGGAACCCATTGCTCAAGCCATTATCATTCCAATTCACGAAAGCCACTCCAGCCGTCTCCGGCCTAAGACCAAGGAGATGAAGAACAAAAGCAAAGTGAGGCCAGCGAG